TATATATATATATATATATATATATATATATATATATATATATATATATATATATATATATATATATATATATATATATATATATATATATATATATATATATATATATATATATATATATATATATATATATATATATATATAGTCGGAGAGATGATAAACACTTTAATAGATAATATAATTTATTTTTGACAACTGGAGTGATTATTAATTTCTTGTAACTCAATTAACAATCTTTTAAACTATTTTTGGAAATACATTAAATCAGAAATATAATCTTTATTTATAGTAGATCATTTAATTGAAAAAGCTAAAATAAATTATTATATTTTTATATTTTATCTTCTTCTACGAGATCAAAATACATCCGAAAAGTTACATCATGAATTATATATATATATATATATATATATATATATATATATATATATATATATATATATATATATATATATATATATATATATATATATATATATATATATATATATATATATATATATATATATATATATATATATATATATATATATATATATATTAAAAACATAAATTAGTAAATAATTTTTTTTACTATAATAATCAGATGATGTATTGAACTTATTTGTCTTCCCTCTTAGCATATTATCATTATTGTTTGAAATTATTTATTTTTATTGTTGTTAGTATATGTCCTTACACTTTAAATTTCTTGATTTTAAATTATCTAATTATTATAAATTTAAAGAAGTCATCGTGACAATCTTAATCACAATCATGATCCCATATCATTTTAGTAACAAATTTTATATTAAAATAAATAATATTAATAATAATAATAATAATAATAATAATAATAATAATAATAATAATAATAATATAATATTAAACCACCACTATTAATTATAATAATATAATATCTAGATAATAAAATAATAATAATAATAATAATAATAATAATAATAATAGTAATAATAATAATCAACTACAACAATTATAAATAATAATAATAATAATAATAATAATATATTCAATTAACACTATTATATCTTATTATACTAATTCTCATTTTTATACAAAAAAATATTTAATTATCAAATAATAATAATAATAATAATAATACTCATAATAATAATAATAATAATAATAATAATAATAATAATAATAATTATAAATATATAATTATTTTAATTATAAACATCTAATAAATTGAAAATATATAATAATTTTTTACTAATAAAAAATAATATTGAAAATATTTTGTATAATTTGTCATTTTATATCATTAATTAATTATAAAAATTGATTAGAGTCAATACAATTGTCTCTTTTCAAAAATTGATATTTTTTTCATAATAAAAATAAAAATTCTAAATATATAAATTTATTTTAAATATAAATATCAAATAAATTGAAAATATATAACTATTTTTTACTAATAAAAAATAATATTGAAAATATTTTGAATAATTTTTCATTTTATATAACTAATTAGTTCTAAAAATTTGTTAAAGTCAATACAATTGTCTCTTTTTAAAAATTGATATTTTTTTCTCAAAATAAATATGATCTTTTGATTTCTCAAATAAATAAAATATTAACAATAATTACATAGTGATATTTTTTTTATTATGGTTAGTTATTTTGAAAATATAATGCTTTTTAATGTATATTTTGCAAATATTTTAACTAATTTTTCATGATAACAATTCTTGACAAAATCCTATTTTTATTTTTAATTTTTTGATTATTGTTGATATATCAAATAAAATGAAAAAGTTTATTGCAACTTTAATACTCTACCTAATCTGTAGTAGCATAAAGTAAACTCATTATATTCCTTAATCTACCATTAATATTCGTCCATTAAAATTAATTTAGTGTAGCTTACTCACCTCATTTAAAAAAATTAATTCAATATAATTTTAATGCTATAATTTCAATAACTAATATATAAAGGCTATCGCAGTCCGTTTATAGCATGTCAAATATATATATTTATTTTAAATATACATATCAAATAAATTGAAAATATATAATTATTTTTGACTAATAAAAAATAATATTGAAAATATTTTGATTAATTTTTTATTTTATATAACTAATTAGTTCTAAAAATTGATTAGAGTCAAGACAATTGTCTCTTTTCAAAAATTGATATTTTTTCTCAAATAAATATGACCTTTTGATTTCTAAATAAATAAAATATTAATAATAATTATATAGGGATATTTTATAAAATTTATAAAATACAAATATTTTGTATTTTTTTATTGTTGTTAATTATTTTGAATATATAATTATTTTTAATGTATATTTTGAAAATATTTTGACTAATTTTTCATGATAACAACTCTTGGCAAAACTCTAATTTTTAAATTTTTTTAATATTATTTGAAGTTGGTATATCAAATATAATGAAAAGAGTTTATTGCAATTTTAATGTTCCACCTATTCTATAGTAGTATAGAATAGTATAAACGTAAACTAATTATATTTCCCAATCCATTAATTATTAATATTCATCCATTTAGATTAATTTAATATAGCAGTTTTAGTTTACTCACTTCACTTAAAAAAGTCATTCAATATAATTTTAATTTCATAATTTCAATAACTAATACTCCATAAAAGACCATCTCAGTCTTTTTATAGCATGACATACAAATTAAGTCAAAGACAAACATTAACATTCATCATCCATATTTTTCAACCTTTCCTAGTTGCACTTCATTTTTCACGTAAAAAGATATTGAATTTGTATTACAATTATAAATGACATTTGAAGCTATACCATAGATTCAACCAACATTTATTTAAGGATGTAGTTATCATATACGTTCATTTCTTCATTTTCATCTATTTATGTGCGTGGAAGATGAAAGAGAAAAAATAATTTTATGGTGAAGTCCCACATAGTCGATAAATAACAAATATATATAAAATTTATCTTAACTATTTATTATTAATCAAAAGATTAAATAATATTCATATTTTTAAAAATTAGATTCCAAAATATATATATTTTTATGAGTTTTTATTTTATTAATTTGTTAAAAAATTCATATTATTTTTATGAATTTTTAAATTTTAAATGTCTTAATTGAAGTTTAATATATTTTTATTATTATAATTATTATTATTTAAATAGGGTTAATTGAATATATTATTATTATTATTATTATTATTATTATTATTATTATTATTATTATTATTATTATTATTATTATTATTATTATTATTTATTACTATTAATTCTTGCTTCATTGTTCTTCTAGAGATCTATGAAAATGTTGATGATATAAATACATATTTTTATTTATAATATTTTTTTCATTTCAACGACATTACTGTTGTTACTTTTATATTCATTTAAATTATAAGTTCAATGTTAAATTTAATATAGTTCAAATAATTATATTTTCATATTTATAATATTTAAAAATAACTTATTTATTATAATATATAAATAGAATTATAATAGATTTTCTGATAATCTAAAAAAATAATAATATAAAACACTTTTTATATTATTGTTTCTCATTAAAAAATTAATATTATAATTACAAACATAAAGATAATTTTATATATAAATAAAAAATTAAATATCAATTATTATAAAATAATATAATTTTATTTCTAATATACACGGGAGATGTAGTTATACTAAATATTTCGAATTATTCGGTTTGTTCTTCAAACCAACCATAACTATTTCTCTTTTAAAGGTCGAGTAAATGCATTTTCAAAGTTTGAGTTGGAGTCCCAATAACACCACCAACAACTATTCATTCGACTTCAACATCTCCATGAAACGACCTTACCTACTTTTCTGTTAAAGTAATTTATTTCGGAATAACTCACAAACTTGTTGTACTATCATTTGTTTTAGCAATTGGGCCCTCCCCTTCTTCTACTGGTTTACTAAATCTTTCGTTTTCGAATGATGTTACTTTACATAGATTATTATTTTTTTAAATAAGAAGTAAAGAAAAATGACGTATGCATGGCAGTTCAAATTAATACTAATAACATTGAATCAACGACAGGTGAGGTGAGGTGAGCTAGAAATGTAATCTCTAGGTCTAAATGTTGGGCATGTGCATAGGTCACTAGACTATGCCCTTGATATTTGTGGACCACATAAATGTTTTCTCTTCTTTCTTGCTACACAATTAAATTGTTGAAGCTTTTATAAAGGAATCAAAATGTGAGTAACATATATAGAAAGAAGAAAAGAAAATGACTTAGAAACTGCACATCTGTAAAGCAGATTCATTTTAATGTCTTACATATACTCTCAATATCTTTCATTTCTTGGAATTATTCTGCTATGCATCACTGGATCAACCATGACTTTAATAGAATCACATTATGGTGACTGATTTTGACAAAAATAATATTTCTCCTTTTTTTTAAAAAATTATTAAAGGCAATTTATTTGTCTAGATTTATTGAATATTGTCTTTTTTTCTTTTATGATTTTAAGAGAAATTCACTTAGTAATTCAGAGTTCGTGTCGAGAGATCATGATATTGATCAAACATTGCTTTTATCCGAAATTAAATTCGATATTCTCTAAATTTTTGTTTCTTAACAAAAGTTTGTTTATCATTCGAGTCCAAGTACTTGATTATTTTACCATATCATCTTTGTTAATTATTGATGTATTCTAACTCAAAAAACAAGAGTTAGTTGCTCAAAATAATCTCTCGATTAATTTAGATATGAAGGAGTGTTTTTGAAGAGATAAATCCATGGTCAAATGGCAGTTAGAAGGAGACCGAAACACTGCTTATTTCCATCTTATCGCCAAAATCAAAATAAGTTAAAGCTCATTTTTATGCTCAAGCATGAGGATAAGATGCTCATTTACCCTAAAGAGATTGTTGAGTGCACTGTGAATTACTTCTTTATTTTCTACTAACTCTGTTATTTTACAGGATCTGAAAATGGTGGATGAAACCATTCCTTCTCTAGTTGACGACAACATGAATGCTATCTTCACTATGCTCCCTTCATTAGGTGAAATTTCTGTTGTTGTTTTCGCTCTGAATAAAGATAGTGTGTCGGGTCTGGACGTGTTTGGGGCAACGTTTTTTCAGACTTACTGAGATATCATCAAGGAGGATGTTTTGAATGCGGTTATGAATTTTCTTAATTCTGGATGGATTCTTCTTGGGTTCAACTCTAACATCATTGTGCTTATTCCAAAAATCAAGGGTGTTGATGCTTTGGATCAATTTCATCCTACCGCTATTTCGAATTTCAAGTTTAAACTTATTTCAAAGATAATAGCAGACATGCTAGCATCTATAATGCCTAGTATGGTTACTCGGAAGCAACGATGTTTCATTCAATGGAGACTGTAATACGGTTGGAGAACTGACTTTGGATGTTTAGCATTTTATCGCAAATGTTGCGGTTAGCAAGAGTCGCCACCGACTTTTCTTTTATCCAAAAGGAAAGGTGGAAAAGAACAGGAAAAATCTTTGAGATTATTTCTTGAGTTCGGGGGGTAGATTATGAAAAGGGAAGGTATTAGCACAATTTTCATCCATAATTATCTATGGGACTCTTAGTTGCTTGCTAGATCACTTGCTTTTGTTTGAAAAATGTGTATTATGGTGTGGGTTTTGAAAGTATTTTGAAAACGTCTTTGTAATGATTCTTGTTTCTATAAGAACGCGTACAAAGTGTTGTTTGAAAAATAGTTCAAAGAAGTGTTTTGTGGAATATGTTTTTTGAAAGTGATTTTGAAAAGGTGTATTTGCAATGGTTCTCGTTTCTATAAGAACGCGTACAAAGTGTTTGTCTTTTGAAAATGTTTCAAAATGAAAGTGTTAGTGTATAAAATGTTTTGTTGTGAGCAAGCGAGCAACTAGGAGCATCCTACCTATTCAAAAGGTCTTTAGTGTTCTTTTCCTCCTCCTTCAGATGTTGTTATCTTACCATTGATTTGGTAAGGAGCCCTATCATTTGGATGTGAAGGGACGGACGTGGGACATTTGTATAGTCATAGAAGGCAACCTATGAGACGTTTTAACAATTTTCGTTTAGGGACTACATTGTTTACCGAATGCAACATTGAGGATCATCGAGGGACTACGATCTTTTATCGAGGGTCTTTGCTAAAATGCCCATATTCGAAGGACATGACTATTTTTCAATAGGCAACAAAATGGGATTACCCTATTGTTGATTTCATATTTTGCCATACACACCTGTATTACTAACAATATATGAAAGCAATGAAAGTGCAGAAAAGTAAAGTCCTACGCTATTACATCATTAAGGGGATGGAGGTGTACAAATTTACAAATGAGGATTGCAAGAAATTAAAGTCCTAATTATCTATTGCAACCATATTGAAATAATGTACAAGAAATGTAAAATGGACTTGTTTTGTTTAAGAAAATAAATAAATTTGCTTAATAAAATATTGTTGATCTTTGATTTTAAAAGAGATAAAATAAAGTATATGATTATAAAAATATTTTTGGTGTTTTGATTATTTAAGATGAAATAAAATGATAAGAGGAAAAGAGGCCAGAATCAGCGCGTGGCTGAAAGGAGAGGGAACAAAAGTTCTGACTATGATATGTTGCAAGAAAGAAAATGTTAGTAGGAAAATAGAAGGTCAGAAGTTTTGGGTCTGGGTACACCAAAGTTTTGAGGTTGCTAGAAATCTAGAAGTTCTAATACCACTGGCAGATCAGAAGTTCTGGTTGTTTGAGAGAGTGAGGTGATAATGCTGTTAGGTGAGGCTCTCTAGAAGTTTTGATCTAGGAACATTGTCTGATAGATAAATGGGTAAGAATTTCAATAAATGAACCTAAAAAAAATGCTTCTGGGGCTAGAACCCAGGACCCTTAGCACTAATGTCTTATGCGTATGCTTTATGCCACTGGGGTGGCTGTACATCCGGTATTAGAAGCAAAAGCATAAACATATAACACAAAGTAAGTTATGATGATGAGATTCATCTCTATTCTCCATGCTAATCAGAACATCTGCAACTTAGCCATTTCTCAACAGAATAAAAAACACAAACATAGCAATTATGGCAGGTTTCCATCATGGTTTCAGAGACATAAAAAATATCAAGACTATAAATCAGAAACAAACATGTATTTGCTAATCCTAATTTCCTTAAGAAGTTCTGAGCTGGTATTCTCCCTAATTAGGAAGAAAGTACATGAAACCTCAGACTGTGTACAACATCAGAAACAGGATGTCTACATTGTATTTTGGACATGCAAGTTTAACAATGCCTAAGTAAAATGATAAGAGTCAGCAGAAGCTTACCTTGCAGCTAAAAAATGTTCTGTGAGCCGGAACCTGATTCTGACTGCTGTTATGTTCTGACCAGTTTCCTCACGTGCTCAGCAAGCTGGAACAACTTTTAACTTGGGCTATGAATGGATGGAAAATTCTAGAACAACCAAGAAGTAAAGTTCTGACTTTTTGAGGTGGAAACTAATGGGGAACGTGTTACAGTCTGAAAATAGAAGTTAAGACAACTTCTAAATGTATATCAGAAGTTGTATGGATGATTTGGTCAAGAAACACTTGAGGGAAATTGGAGTTTGAATACAAGAATAAAAAACTAGCAGGTTTTGTATTTGTGTTTGCAGTTTCAGATTCCTGAAATTTTTAACAAGGTTTCAAAGCTTTTTCTTTTCAAAAATTCGACCCTTTTACAGTTTCAAATTGATTTCAATTTATAGGCAAAGGTTTAGTAGCTTGGAGAGGTCAAGGGTACAACCATCATGTTAGGATGCTGACTTATTCTTGAAGCAAGTTAAACAAGTATGGTGGTTAGCAGCTTTTAGTCGTGCCTAAACTGGATTTATAAGCATGAATTAAGGAAAAGTACCCTCAGAAGAAAAAGCAAAGCATGGGCCCAGCATACTCTTGTACACAAGTTTTATTTTTCAAGGACAACAATGTACTTCTATGCCACACGTGGGGAAATCCTTTGGATAAAAACTCAAAAGTGGTTGTGAGCATTAAATGATGATGATATTTATAAAACCAGAAATCATGCAATATAAGATTATGCATCATAGCTTAATTCTAGATCAGAAGTTCAACATCAGCGTAACTTAGAATAAATATCCAACTTATGATCTTTGAATCTCTTTGCTCCAGCATATTCTGAGTGAGTTCTCAGACTTTCCAGAAAGCTTATAACACGCTTTCTAAACCCTCTTTGAATTGCTCTTGTAAATTCTGACTGGACCTACATGAAAATTGATCCAGAAGTTCTAACCAAATCCTGTTTTGGAAAGGTCCAGAGTTTACTGAATGTTTCAGTTTTAATGACATGCCTTTGAAACTATATAACTTGAAATCCCAGTATTTCTAGAAGAAGTTTTGTGCTGCAATGTTTTAGATCTTATTGAGGTCTACAACTCTTGTGTTAGAAGTTCTTGCATAATCAACTTGCATCATGGTGAAAATCTAGCTAGAAGTTCTGAATTTATCATATTTCTTAAACACTTAGAAAAATTTCTAAGTATTTAGAATTTTGACTTTTTCAACATAATATTGACTTTTGATTTTCTTGATGAAACAAACTTCATACTCTGACATGCCTTGATGAAATATGATTCTTGAAACTTGACTTTTGATCTAAAAGTCAAAGTTTGACTTTTCAGTGTGCAATTGACCATTTTGCCCTTGTGAATGACTTTCTTGGAAAATTGTAATCCAAGACTTGAAACTTGATAGAAGCAAAACCCAGGGTCCAGGATGATCCTTTGAGAAATGATAGGACAAATTTTGGGGTACAACAGCTGCCCCTGTTCAATCTTCTTAAACCTGAAGAGTTGGATTGGCGAATCTGCCATTCGTGACTTGAAGGTAGAAGATGATTGAACACTAGAGTGCCCAGAAATTTGCTCTTGATAATATTATGATTGAAGTGTAAGGAATGAGCTTAAAGATGCCATTTGGAGGAATTATGGAGAGCTGGCGGAGATGGGCTTGCAGATGCCATCAAGAGGTGATTGTTGATAGAAATTAGACTAAGTTTAAACTTAACTTCAACTGGGGAAAGAATCAGAATAAACCTTTGGTCGATTTAAAACTGAACCTAGTAGAAGTCTTGAATAATCTTTAACTGGGAAGAATCAGGATAAATCTTTGGTTGCGAATTATCTGAACCAGAGAAAGTGTTTATCGGGGAAGAGTCAGGATAAACCGTTAAGAGATTTAAATTGAACCTATAGAGGTCTGGGAAAAAATCATAATAAATCTTGGAGGGACTTATCTGAACCAAAGGAGATATCTGCGGGAAAGAATTAGGATAAATCGTTGAGAGATTTAAACTGAACCAGCAGGGGTCTGGAGAAGAATCATAATAAATCTTGGAGCGACCTATTTGAACCAGAAGAGATGTATGCGGGAAAGAATTAGGATAAACCGTTGAGAGATTTAAACTGAACCAACAGGGGTCTGGAGAAGAATCAGAATAAATCTTGGAGCGACTTATTTGAACCAGAGGAGATGTCTGCAGGAAAGAATCAGGATAAACCATTGAAAGATTTAAACTGAACCAGCAGGGGGCTGGAGAAGAATCATAATAAATTTTGGAGCGACCTATCTGAACCAGAGGAGATGTCTACGGGAAAGAATCAGGATAAACCGTTGAGAGATTTAAACTGAACCAGCATGGGTCTGAAGAAGAATTATAATAAATCTTGAAGCGAACTATCTGAACCAGAGGAGATGTCTGTGGGAAAGAATCAGGATAAACCGTTGAGAGATTTAAACTGAACCAACAGGGGTCTGGAGAAGAATCAGAATAAATCTTGGAGCGACTTATCTGAACCAGAGGAGATGTCCCGTCTTATTTCGGGAATTGATCTACGATTGATTTGTTCATAGATATTTGCCTTGTCTTGTTGAAAATTTGATAGTAATTTTTTGTTGATTGATCTTTCCTGAAAAGGTAAAGAGTTAGTTGTATGTGATTCCATGATGCATGAAATGCATAGTGCAGATGAGATTGCGATATATGCATTTTTGTCATCGATATTTATGATGTATGGATGTGTTGTATGCACATGTAAGTTGTTTTGCTGCAGTGTTGTTTAGTATTGGGGAAAGTAAATACCTGACTGGCTGGGAATGAGGAGTGCGGGTCTTCATATTTTGTTGAAGTTGAAGTGTTGAAGGATGGGTTTCCATAATTAGAGAAATAAACTCTGCTGGGGAAGAGAAATGTCGTGTATTGCCCGTG